AATCTCTCCAAGTTTGCTTTGCTCTGTTCCTGCCTTGCTGCTTTTCCAAAGTGCAGAGCTGAACTCTGCTCTCTGTCTTCTTCCCGGTCTTTGGCTTCATCTGCTGCCAAATCACTAGCTCTTTCTGCCCCCGCCCCCCCATCTTTGCCTTGGGGTTAATTTTTGTGTGATTGAAACCATTCAAAACAGAAATGAGATTTGTTTCCAGCCCCTGAGCGAGCTGGGAATTCTGGGCCCAGGAAACCTGTGGTTTGACCTACCAGGGGAAATGAAAATTTGGAGCTCTTGGCGTTTGGCCCTTTCGGAATCTGGGAGCCAGACGGAGTCAGGTTTGGATCTGCACCACTTAGACCCGAAGGCTTCTGAAGAAAACTGCCTGTGGGGTGAGCTTATAAATGAGCCAAGTTACGGTTGGACGGAGGCAGGTTGAGTTTTCTGCCAACGTGACTTTTCCCCCCCGAGTTATTTCTCACACTTTGCCCTCAGTGATGAAGGGTGTGGTTGTTTGTAAACTGCCCGGAGTTCCAGCTGTCAGTGCAACAGAGTAAATATTTTGGAGGGTAGAGCTGGGGGATGGAGAAGGGGGGAGGAGAAGGAAGTAAATATATTAACTGAGGAATGGAATGGGGAAGTAGGACTCTGACCGAAGGGGCGGGCGCCCTGGTGACAAACGTTTTTCACTGAGAACGGTGGAGTCTGTGTGAATGTGTGTGTGTGATATACAGACACACAGACATTCTAGGTGGCGACTGCCCTGTGCCTTACTAATGACAAGCTATACAAAGGAAAGCAGCATGCCTTTGAAGGATGGAGTCACTTTCTGGTCAGCCTTTTTCTTTTTTGCTAAATCTTCACCCAAGGATGTTCCCCCCCCCATTGATTTTTTTTAGAGAGAAAAACACTGATGTGAGAGAGACAAACTGATCGGTTGCCTCGCACACTCGTCAGACCGGGGCTGGGGATTGAACCTGCAACAGAGGTACGTGCCCTTGACTGGAATTGAACCCGGAACCCTTCAGTCCACTGAGCCAAACCAGCTAGGACTGGTCAGCCTTTTTCTTTGGAGTGTGTAATTTACTACCAAGCACACAGTGGGGGGTAGGGTCTGAGGGGGCAGAATATGGGCTCCTTCCTTAGCATTAGAACTTAGGGAGGCCTCAGAAGGTCAGCTGATCTAACTCCCCTGTCTTCAGCTAGGTGAGGGTGACAAAGGGCTGCTTATTTTCATCCTCAGATGGCCCAGGAGAGTGGACGCCACTTCCTCTGGCTACTGCATTTTTGCCTTGGGGAAGAGGGTCCTGGTCCTGAGGCACATCTGGATCTGCATTTCAGTAACAGGGTCTTGCTTGCAGCAGGTGCTTAGGAACAAGTGCGGGTTGATTTATAGCTGCCCATGGCACAGCCCTGGGGCTGCCAGATGGCTTGAGAAATCTGGTCAGGCATATGCGTGCCCCTTGATGAGAAGCATGCGGTGCAGGCGGTGCCAGTGGAAATCTTTTTATTTTTGGATTTTGCCTTTACACGTTTCAACTTCTCAAAGGAGGGACCTGTAATTTTTAGTGGATAAACAGTAGGTTGAATACATAGAATGAAAAAAGGTTGTCCATCCAGGAGCTAGTTAGCTCTGTATTGTTACAAGCGTTTCTAAAGAAGCCGGCCGGCCATCTCTCAGGGCTGCTGTCAGAGTAGATTTTTGCCCTGGATGGGAAATTGGGCTAGATTGTCACTAAGCCTCTTGCAACTCTGAGAGCCTGAAATTCTGTATAACTCTTGTGACTGGAAGAGTCAAATATACACACAGAAAAGGAGAGGCTAGAAGATTACAGGGAGGTAGCTGTATTTAAGTGTTTATATATTTAAGTATAATTGTATTTATGGTAAATGTATGTGAATATCAAGCAGTGAAATTGTACAGTGCTTAAAAAAAGGATTTCCTAATTTATTTTTAGGGTGAGATATCTAGGCAATGGGAGTGTGTCTGCCAGTTTCAACCTTGCGCACACGGACCCTTCTCAGTCCTTTCTGCCCAGACCCTGTCCAGCTTGTATGATGAGCTTGGCCGGGAATGTCAGGACACTAGAGCAGAGTGACACTGACAACCTGTGAGCTTTCCAGCTACTGAAAGGCGATTGTGGTCTTTAGTCAAACTCCACTTCAGGATAAAGCTTGGGGAAAGGATGAAGTGCACTATTTTTCTGGAATTGGCTTCCTAGCTGCTGCTTTTAACTGTGACCAGATCGCTAGTGGGGTCAGGGTGCCCAGACTTCTCTTGTGACAAGAATGATTGTGTGACTCTTGACCACTGAAGTAGAAGCAGTTTGCTGCTATGATGAGTGCTTATGCCTCACTCCGCTGTATGTGGAAGGACTCCTATCAAGACACTATCGACCCCATTGGACTGACCCTTATGGGTGCTTGTGATGTACAGAGGAGTCATTGAATTGGATGAACTGAAAAACACTTCGTAGCACTGCTTAGTAACTGTCCCACTTTTAGCCTCTCCAAATTCTACCTCTCTTTCAAGTCCCTTCTTGAGTCTTCCTTTATGAAACCCCTCTAGTAATTTCTGCACTCATGGGACTAATTGTACATACCACTCATTTAACACATAATCATATGACATTTCTTACATTTCTGATTTCTGTGGTCATTGCACTTTGTGCTCTTTCCACGTCAGGGACTATTTCCTATGTCTATATAGCCCTCACAGTGTTCTTCACCAGGCCTGGCATAGAGTAGGTGGTCAATAAAAGTTGCAGAATGAATACGTCCTGGATGCAATTGAAATGTAAGTCTTGACTTACAGAATCATAGAATAATAGAGCTGGAAGGGACATTGGAGACTATCCCCATTCTTTTGCAGGTGAGGAAACTAGGCCCACGGAAGTGAGATTTCTTCATCAAGATCGGTTGGCCAGCCAGTGCCTCTATATGACATTACCTTTTATGTCATTATTAGCTTTGGACTATGGAATCCTGAAGATATTCAGATTACTAAAGCTGTACATAGGCCTGGATGCTAGACCAGCATATTTTCAGTTCTTGGTAGCTAGCGTTTGTTGCCTAGTGGCATCTATGTTATTTGGGCCTCCCCAGCTCATGCTCCTAGAAAATGAAGGCATCTTTGCAGAATACTGGCAGCATTCTGGCATGGTAT